TGGAGAACCACTGGCTTTAGAGAGAGACAAGTTTTGCTGTTGGCCTCAGAGGAGGAGTGTTAGAGATCTGGACCGGGGGTGGGTAAATTATGGCTAAATTAGGCTGAGGTAAGAACAGTTTTTACATTTTTAAAAAAGTTGCTAAAAAACAAAACAGAATTTGTCACAGAGACTGTATGTAGGCTACAAGGCCTGAACTATTTACTCTCTGGCTCTTCACTGGAAAAGTTTGCTTCTGTCTAGGCTCCTAATATGGAAACATGGTCAGTTTTAAGGAGACTGGAAGAAAATCAGGCCTGATCTTTGATTTCCAGGATCCTAAGCACTTCTGGAATTACTGAGGGTTTCTCTGGTTGTCACGATGTTGTTTCAATAAAATCAAATTATCAGGGCTCACATTTGACTGGTGAAACCTGGGAAGAACAATCATTTAAACAAATATGTATTTTCAAGTATATTGAGTCATAATCATATTTGGTGGGCAATGCCTTTACTCAGTATTTGATCTTTATTTCAAAAGCTGACCATCCTGAATCCATTTGAAGGCTCTGGGTTTGGGAACTTCAAGAAGTCACCTGCAGAGGTGGACTGTTCACAGAACTCCCAACTGCAGTAGGGTAGGATGACATTTTATGGTTGCATATGTTGATTTATCTAAATTTTAACATTTATTCTGTCTCATCCCAAAGTGGATGTACTTTGATACAATTCAATTCAGACTCTAAGCACCTGAAGTTAGCATCGGACTTCATGGGGCTCAGTCCCCACAAAGCTGCCCATACTTCAGACTCCAGCTGCAGGGGAGGTCCCCGAGCTTCCCACACTTCTGCGGCCTACAAATTTAGGGGTTCCCAAGACCTCCTGTTTTCATAATTCACTAGAACCATTCACAGAACTTAGGGAAGTGCTGTACTTACGATTATCATTTTATTATGAAGGATAATGAGTAGGGTGAGGCCTGGGAGGGAGCACAGAGCTTCCATGCCACCTCCCTGTGCAGTCAGGGGTGTCACCGTCCCAGCACGTCAATGCCTTCACCAACTGGGAAACTCCACCAAGCCTCCTTGGTGTCCAGATTTTTTACTGGGGCTTTATTATATAGGCCTGACTGATTAAATCATTGGCCATGTGATTGGACTCAATCTCCGGCTCTCCTATCCTCCCAGGAGGTTGGGCTGGCCCAAAGTTCCAACTCTTTATTCTTGTGGCTGGTCTTCCTGGTGACCAGCCCCAATTCTGAAGCTAGCTGGGGACTCACCAAGAATCCTTCATTAATATAACAAATTCCTATCACTCAGGAAATTCCAAAGGTTTTTGAAGCTGTGCCAGGAACCAGGGACAAAGACCAGATATATTCTTTATTATATCACATTATTTGACCTTCTGTGTCCTGTGGAAATTCATTTAAACAATGAAGTCTCATTTACTGGAAGAAATATCTATTTTTAGTCCAATGACAGGCACAGGTTATTTGGACAATAAATTTTTTTTTTTTTTTTTTTTTTGAGATAGGGTCTCTATCTGTTGCCAGGCTAGAGTGCAGTGGCATGATCATAGCTCATTGCAGCCTCGAACTCCTGGGCTCAAGTGATCCTCCTGCCTCAGCATCTTGAGTAGCTAGGACTATAGCCAATCGTGCTGGTGAGAGCTACTTAGGGATCTCAAGCAGTTATGGTTCCGTGACGAAGGCTGGCACAGGTGACCAAACACTGCCAAGATGGCCTCATAGAACAAATTAGCTTTCTTACAAGGTCACAAAAATTACAGGGATAAACTTGGTAAGGATGCTCAACATATGGATTTGTATGAGCTGATAGTGTTTAAAAAAAAAAGAACGGTCACTATGAAATTCAGTGTGTCATAAATTCTAATATTAACAGAAATGACACTTTGTCACAGGCTGGTATGTAGCTTATCAGTTACATTTTGTTAAATTATTTAAGAACTATGATAGCGAAATACTAGAAAGGAGGGGACCCTTTAAATAACATTGTGATCAGAAAATTGCTGCAGTTGGGAAAAGCAAGGAATAATGATGCTATTCTGCACTATTAAAGTATCACATTGTCCAGCAAACAAAAATGCAGACTCTAAGTGGTGAGAAAGTGGAAAGGAAGGAGTGGGACAAGTTCTGCTCTGGCTGGGACTCAAAGTGAAGAAGGAAGAAGAAAATTAACAACGAGCTGGGGTGGCTCCAGCATGGGATCTAGACCTGGAACCATAACACTGAAGATAGGAAAAGCTGGTCAGTGTCTTGTGAACTGCCATGGAAACCAGTGCTTTGATCAGCAACACAAATGGAGAGGTTTCGGGAAAAGGGCCAGTCTATTGCTACTTGTTGCTCTCCAGAGATGGCTACGACAGCGTTTGATATTTTTTAGACTGTGGGTTATGATCCACTAACTATTCATGAAAACATCAGAGTACACAGTAAGTGAAGACACAAATTCTGAGAAACCTTTCTTTTGGGTATATATGTGTATGAAGGTGAAAATGTCTTTCTTACTGTAGTTGAAAGCCACAGACGTAGGGAACTGGGAGGGCAAGGGCTTTCCCAGTCTCTAATTGCACCAAATGCCTCATATTAATCATGGTAGAGCTCAATGAAAAAAGAACTACACACTTCATTATCTACCAACAACAGTACCACGGAGAAACTCATTGTTAATTAATGTATATAATGTAAATATGATATTGACAGTATAAAAATTAAACGCTTATGAAAAACTCAAGAAAAATTAAAGGTCATACAAGCAAGTAGTATACAGATTATTTCCTGAAAAGATAAATTTTAATATACAGATTAAAATCCACAAAGATTTTATTATTTTTCACTTTCCCCAAAATATGTGGCATGAATGCTTCTGAATCTGATCAATAAAGTTTATATTTTGGTCCAATACATTATTAGACTACCTGTCTGATCAAGTCCGGCTTGATTATCATAAATCATAGAAATTATCAGAATTTACTTTAAAAATCTGTTGCTTTTACAGATGATGGATTTCCAATTTTTTCTTAGCTAAGAGTTTGCTGAACTTTAGCCTCAGAACCAGATTCAAAATAAGACATCTTCTTTAAATAGCTGGTCATCATTTTATGCATAATCTAGGCAAACTATTTAATACTTTATTGAAGATCATACAAAAACTCCACAATAAATAATGAAAAGAGTATGCAAAATCACTAGCCTCTGTTTGCAATACAGAAAATACATGTCAGTTCTGGACCAAAATAATTCCATTGAAATACAAAAAGTGACAGGGTGGAATTAAAAGATCCGCAGTGACTGTTTTTGGTGGTCAGCTACACCACACCAACCACTGCTGGTTATTTTGCAAAGTGGAGACGGGTTTTAATCTGCAGATAAAGAATGTCTTCGGTAGTTTAAAAAAATATAAACTCTAAAAAAGCTTGTGAATCATATACAAAAGCAGCTATTTGAGACGAAGGTTGAAAACCAGAAATTGTGTTAGCACCACCAGCAAGCACAGGGTCCTCTGTCCTTGGACTCTTCAGCCCTCCCGACTTGGGCAGAACGCAGACTTCAATGTTGTGTACGTCATGTACAGCTGTAAAAATTGGCCTGGAATACAGTGTTCCCGTAGGGTAGTCTTAAGCCCTAGGAGGCACCAAGCGGTTACAAAGGCTAGGTAACATCTGGATCACAAGTTCCGACGATACAATAAATCTCGTGTTGCCTTATCAACTTTTTGCTGGTAGTCTTCCAATTTGTCAAGTATTTTCTGGGACAGCTGTAAGAGAAAAGGGAATCATTACAGAATAGCTCAAGGATTGAAAAAGGTTGAAGTTACTGATCACTTTGACTTCACTAATTAGACTCTACCTAATAAAGATGTTAGCCACTCTGCTTAATTAAATCACCATTCAGTTTAGAAGTCTGCTGTGACTCTACTGATAAAACTGGACTTTTCTGTTATATACTTCAATCCTGGTTTCCTAATGAATTTTCTAAATAAGCAAATCATATCAGTATTTCTAATAAGCATATTACTAGCTCTTTTCTTAGAACCAAAGATGCTGTGTCTGATTTAACTAGTCATTAGCTGCCAAGTGAAATATAGGACTAATACCTTAGGTAGTTTTAATTATTTGTTAATATTTTGTTTATCCTAAATTGATAGAGCCAATTAGTAGGAATTGCTTTTTCACGCCTGCCTTCTTTCTTCCTCTTGCCTAACTTTGAATGGCAGATTTGGAAGAGAAACATACAAAAGTACCTGGAGTTTATATTCTGAATCAATGACTAGTTTATAAAATCATATTCTATAAGTCATATTAATAGGCTCAGGAAACACTCCATCTTACTGGTAAACAAGGTGTCACTATAATGAGTCTGAGCAAAGAGTATCATTTTTTTCTTTTAAGGCAAGCAGTAGCTAACATATGAATCCTGGGACATGTGCTC